TGCGAGGCACTGGGCTCCATCTTCAGCACCACATAAAGATAAATAAAAACACTGTGTCCGTCTACAGCTGAAAATAATAAATAAAAATAAATTTTTAAAAAGAATTCTAGAAATTGACAATAGAAAAACAAAATGAGGGGAAAGAGATGATAATGAGTGGAAATAATCCAGAGGAATACTTCAGGTAAAGGGAATCTCAAACACAATGCCCTGAGGTAGGAGAGAGTTTAGTGTGTTCCGTTGAAATAAAGCAAGCTGGCACGGCTGAGGAGTGGTGGGTGGGTGAGGAGAAATAGGTATGAGTTGTTCCAACCAGATGAGGGAAGCCAAGGAGAAGAGTTGGAATTTCACCATAAGTGCAAAAGGTAGCCATCAGATAAATCAGATATATATATATTTATTTTTTTTTTTTTGGTACCAGGGATTAAACCCAAAAGTGCTTAACCACTGAGCCACATCCCCAGCTATGTTTATTTTTTTTTATTTTGAGACAGGGTCTTGCTAAGTTGCTTAGGACCTCACTAACTTGCTGAGGCTGGCCTCAAACTTGCAGTCCTTCTTCTTCAGCCTCCCAAGCCACTGGGGAGACATGTGCCACTGTACCCAGCTCATTCAGATTTCTAAAAAATAAGTCCAGTGGAAAATGGAGAGTCCAAAAGCAAGATGAGAAGCCCTACCTGAATCTTTTGAGCTGAGAGCAAAGGAGGTCCAGCACCCTAAAGGAAAATCCAGGACTGCCACTAGAAAAAAGGAAACAACTGCCAATCATGTGGAGGCTGCTACCCGGTTGTAGAAGCAAGGCTGCTGGGTTGTAGGGCATCTCTATTTTCAAGATTCAGGTATTGGCAACACCCTCCACCCCCCCCCCGCCCCGTTTGCATTTCCAAGATCAAGGTACTGCTTTTTCCCATAGCCTACATATTCTAGCCCATTTGATTGACAAAAGATACCTCACTGTCTTTCAAATTTATTCTTCTTTGATTCCTGATCAAGCTGAGAAACTGGCCTTCTAACTCTCCATGAATAAGCTGCGATGTTGAGACACGCACAGGACAGGGAACAAGGGGGCTTGGAGAGGAGGTAGAGTGGGACCCTGTCCTGACATGACACCTATTACGGGTGCTCGGGAGAATAAAAAAGGCTTCAAAGGCAAAGTTAGTGCATTGAAAACGCAAGGAGCTGGCCCACACTGTGTCACCAGAGCCACACAGCATATCCAGGAGCTGGAGTCAAGGGCTGAGAGCTGTGACCTAGGTGTTTCAGAGACTCTGTGGCTGAAGAGGGGAGCCCAGAGAACCCAGGGGTGAAAATACAGACACCCTGCCTTATTTTGGCGGCCTGGATTCTTGCATCCTTTCCCCTCTGTGTCTTTTCATCACCTAAAGAGACACATAAGTTGGCAGATGCGTGGATCCCCACCGCCCAGGTGCTCCGAGTACTTGATTGAAGAGAGTGAGACCCAGAAAACAGTGATTCTCCCAAGGTCACATAGAAAGTGAGTAGCAGAGTCAAAACTTGTCCCTGACTCATCCCAGCTCCTCCTCCCTGTCCCTGGATACAGAAACCCTCCATGAGCTGGGCACTGAGCAGTGAGGGTGTCTTCTCTCGGGGAGAAGAGAATCCAACAGGTTCAATCTCCCTAAGAGAGCATGGCCCTCCAGCCCCGACTGCAGTATTATTTTGTGGAATTCTACATTTTTCAACTTCCTTCCCCAGATGGAATCAATGAGGGTTTGT